AAAGATTTTTAACAGGCAATAATTTAAAAAAAATTTTTTGCATTGCATCATTTTGCATCATTAATGTAATGCAGAAAACATTTTATAATGTTTTTATAATTTTTTGTTTAATAATTTTTTATTCTTGCTGCATTACAGTAATGAGAATTTGGGGTTAAATGTGCTTAATTTACATACAAATAATATATAATAATAACTAAAGAATAGGCTTACTTTTCTTCATCCGAAATATTCTCTTTTTTTCTTTTGATTTTGTGGTGAAATATGAGTTGGAGTATGTGTTTTGATGCATCGAGCATCATGTCTGTCTCCTCTATGTCACTCGGACATGTGTTTTTGTTGTAGTCAATTTAGAAATTGTCTCATGACTGAATATGAGGCTGGTTACCAGATTATGAGTTTAAACTGATGGTTATTATCATGTGACCTCCAGGATTTGAAATGACTTTGATTTACAGTCGATCACACTGTAAACGGTTCATAATCAATCCATCTGATGAATGTCAATCAGTTGTTGACAAAATCTTCCTTCACGAACGTTATTCATGGCTGTTTTCAGATCAGTGAGGAATCATGGGTAATTCTCAGTTTGTACTGCTGTGGTTTGATCAGATTTGAGGTGAATAGAGATGCTGAGTGTACTGATGATAGTGATGAGGTTCTTTCAGTGGCAGTTTTCTGTGTATCATTTGCTTTGACTGGAAATCAACTGCGCCTTCTACACTGTATTCCATAAATAAAGTTTTGAATGTACATACAGACTTGTTTTGTTGTGGCTCTTTTGCAACATGGGCGGTTTAGAGCTCAGTGACGTGGTGGATTGAATGACACTCAAATCGCAGTGCAATTACTCGGGTAATTCTTGTTTTCAGCTAATGGTTTACTGAAGAAGCAAGCAGAGGAACTGAGATCAATCCACGGCTGTGTCCTTGACCAAAATAATGAGCAAGAAAAAGATTTTGTCGAACTGTTCAAATTTGCACTTCAAACAGTATCTAATTCATTCCAAATCGAGGGGTGAGAACCAGAAGGGCGTAAGTGACATTTTGGGTGAAATGGAGATATATATATATATATATATATCAAATGAAAGCTCTTGATGAGCTCTTTCTACTGCCAAAAGGACACAAGTGAATTCTTAATAATTTTGGAGTTATTCATTAGAAACCAAAAGACTTAACACTGAATATATTGAGTCAGTTGG